CGGGGAAGTATAGAAATAGCAGATAGATAAAGTTGTTTTTAGTAATAAATTTAGTATAATATTTGTTATATAAATATGTAACAGTAAATGTTAATTTTGGTATATAAAAGAAGTGTATAATCTTGATAATATAAGTGGTTTTAATATAGCAAACAATAGGCTCTTTGTTTGCTAGAATTGGTTTGATTAGTGATTAGACATATTAAAAAAAATAACACCCAGATCACCTGTAAGTGAACCCATAAGCCATCTAGGTAGAACCCAGATAGATTAAAAAAAACAACCCTTTGGGTGGATTTATAAATCACCTGGGTAAAAATAGAGCATTATAGCTGTTTTTATAAATTCTAAAACAATTAAAAAAAATTGCTGATAACAGAATTGATTAAGTTCTTCTTTTAAAAAAGACGCGATATTTGGGATAGTTCCCAAATGGAGCGTTAGTGGAACTAATTGCATCTATCGTCACATGACTGTCAAGTCATGTGTAAGACTGAGACAATGCGGGCTCCACATCGGCGTATACGTAAAAACGCGTTTGAAAACAATGTTTGAAAACATCGTTTGCTACACATACAAAGTATTCAAATAAGTATGCATAGTAACATCATTTGAGAACACTATCAACGATTGTGTTCGATAACAATGTATACTACAAAATACAGAACCAATTATCTCTGGAGTAAAGGCAGCCAGATTCACTATGTTTTTTTACTAAGGTGATCATAGTAAATGATCGACAAAAAATACTACTAGCCAGATTCACTATGTTTTTTTACTATGAGGTTTAATAGTGGCCAGATTGCACTAATTAATTTACTAGTAGCCAGATTCACTATGTTTTTTTAATATGGTATGCTTAGAAAGTGATCTGCATAATTTTATTATAAAAACCCCCAAAAATTGTAGTAACTTACACTAAAACGTCTATTTTTTTCTAGTTTTTCCGTTAGAATAGCATACATTTCAACGTAAATTTTGACAACTTTCTCACAAAAAAATAACCCTTACGCTTCTAATAAAAGTTGTAGATAGGATATCAAACTATCCGAATCTCAATTTTTATGAGAAAAAAAGAGATATTCGCAGAGATATTCACGATTTTCTCTTCGATTCGTCTATACGTTTTCGAAAATTGCCGATGGATTTCAATCGATCCGAAGAACACTTTCTCTAAATGAAACACTTTATGCTTCTAACAAAAGTTATTTGCATGGTTTTCAAGAAATAGAATATCAATTTTCAGATCAACTGCATGTATATTCATCTAGTTATCAACGTTTTTGTAATGAGAACTAATGACGAATTTTTTGTTTTTATTTGTAGGAACGTATAGATCAATTTGGGTATAACGGTCAAATGAAACATGTTGTATCATAATAAGGTTTTTAGAGGAATGTTTCAAGAGTTAATCTGTAAAATTTTATCTCAAACGGATTAAAACCCGTGAAGATATTCAAGTTTTACGTTTGTCTTTCGATTAACGTTCTGCTTTTTTGATGAAAGAGACAAAAAAATCACGGTACCATTGTAGGTTTTTGTCAAGTTCAGTCTAAACATATGACTGCGTATTAACAAAAGTTGTCAAGTATATTTTCAAGTTTTGCTTGATGAACTTTAACTTATTTTAAACAAATATTGATAAAGTTATCAAATTTTTTCATTTTGTTATAATATTGTATATTATAGGTTCGTCAGTCATTTGACATTCAAAAAACTATAAATCAATATCTACAGTTTGTTTGCAAAGAAAAAATATAATCATCCGTTCATATCTCTTGTTTCAAGAAGAAAAAACATTCAAGTGTATCTTGTTTTTAATAAACAATTTGATATATGTACCAAGATTATCTTTGATATTGATTTAATCAATGTCTATTACAAGGCAAAAATTGAAAAAAATAAATAAACATAAATTTAAAAAATGTAATATTAATTTGTTAGTTAAAGACAATTTCTACATAACAAATATAAAATAATTGTATTTTAATAAAGAATAATATCCTTGAATAGTTCAAATTTTGAACCGTTCAAGGATTTAATTATGTAATTTTCACAACAAATTTATAACAAATTTTTAAATTAAAAACAATAGGTTTAGCTTTAAAATTTATTTACACTCTTGTTACAGGATTTCATTGTCTTTGCTGTCTCAATAAATACAAATGTGCAAAAAAAAATCAAGTTTCTAATGAAGAGAGAAAAAAAAGAGAGAGAGAATTTGAGGAGACTGGTGTTCTTCCTCAATGTTTTGTCTGTAAAAAGTATTATTATCATTATAAAAGTGATACATGCAAACTATGTTGTATGATTAACAAATGCAATCAAATTGAATGCTCTAATTGTAAGAAGCGTGGAATTAAATGTGTGTGGCCTTTTCCTCATACTGAAGAAGAGTTTAAAGAACTGGAAGAAAAAAGCATAACAAGATCAACAGCAAAATTCAAAAGATCTGGACAAAACAAACTTCACTTCCATCTTGTCTTAACATTTACAAAGAGAGTGATGATGAAATACATGACAGACGTACTCAAAACTAATAGAATTTCATTTCTACCTGGTGTTTTGTGCCGAGGAAGCACAAAGGATAATGAGGATTATACGTTAAAATCTTGGGGAAGATGTAAAATTCATCACAAACCAAGAGAAGGAAAATACTGTAAATGTAATCTTTTTGTTAAGGAGGATCAGTCTAAATGTAGTCTTTGCAAACTTTCTTGCATCAATTTGAGGAAAAGAGAACAGTTAGACGAAGAAGGTGCTGGACCATTTATTTTTGGTAAATTTCGCTACTTAGAAGGCTCATCAGATGAGACAATTGATAAGCTCAATATGATAAAATTGGATAATGAGTATAAAAAACAACAGCTTATCGAAGATCTAAAAAATGGACAAAGATATGAAGATTTTCTTAAAAATTTAGATAAGCTTTCTACTTCAATACTTGATTCGATAATAGGGATGAAAACAATTTCAAAAGATTTAGATGAGTTAGAAAATAGATTAAAATTTATTTCAGAAAAAAGATTCTACCCAAAGAATTTTTATTTTTATGGTGATTCTGGTTCGGGAAAGACAACGATTATTCAAAGACTTGTCAAAGAACTCGCAAAAGAACGAGAAGCTTGCAAGAAGGCGAATGATCCAAAATATTTTGATAATTACAACAATAATGAAATTATTTACAAGCATGAACTGTCACATGACACCTGGAAGTTTTAGGATCTGTTAAATCTTTGTGAGAAAGATGAATGCGTTATCAGTCGAAAGAATAAAAAACCTGTCAAGGTCGTATCTAAATACAATATTTTTACAGCACAAGATCCTTTTAATAATATTTTTACTTTTAGAAAGCATGTATTTGATCAAGAAGAAATTAAAAGCTCAGAGTTGAAAATTGCATTGTATAGAAGATTTTCAAAATCGCAAGTTTATACACATGGTTATATTATAGAAATGTTGGGTTGTTACGAAGAAGGGGTAGTTAATTTTAGAATTGATTGGTTAAAACCATATCAGGCAAGAGATTTATTAGATTTTATTAATGGTAGATTTGATATTAAATTTGTGGAAGATATTAGTTTAGAAGAGGCAAAGAAATACGTTTACAATGATGATTTTGACAATTTGTACGAGCAAGATGGTTATGTTTTCATGAAACGGGAGATTAATATGAGTTATGTTTTAGGAGGAATAGTTGGAAATGTGGATTTAGAAAATGAAACATTTAGTGTTTACAATCAATTTTGGGATTCTGAGCTTCTATTCAACATTTTAATTCCAGACAATATAGAATCATTACACAAGAATTTACAAGTAAAATTGTCTAATTTTATTGAATTAGACCCACAAATAGAATCAAGCACAAAACGTAAAATAGATAATACAGAAATAGAAGATAGAGAAAAAGAAAAGCATGTAAAGCTAAATAATTTTCAAAAATAGAATATTTTTTTTTTTTTTTTTTTTTGATATTAAGGTGAGGTCTTGCTCATATCTTTATTGATTAATTTATATAAGCAATTA